CTTTACAAAACACAATGAAAATTGCACATGTTTAGTTTTTACATTTGTAACACATGGATATCGATCGTTGTATCGAATCATTGTACTAGCATAATAATAATAATAGTAATAATAATAATAAAGGGTGTCCCAAAATTCACGCAAGAAGTAATTTTGATAGAAAACACAGGTTTATAATTAAAAATTGTAAACTTTTTATTGATTCATAAAGTATACAGTATAGGGTTATGTATGGAATAGCATATCGGGTAAATGGCCTCCACGGTTTTACTGGCACATATGCACTCTTTTGTTGAAATTTTCCATGATCGTTTTACATAAATGTGGCTGAATTTCATTGATACAGCGTTCAATTTCCTCCTTCAAGGCATGGGTGGTCGTGGGCTTGTTGGCATAAACCTTAAACTTCAAAAAACTCCAAAGAAAAAAGTCCAACAACGTTAAATCGCATGATTTGGGCGGCCAAATCTGATCACCGGGAAATTACACGACCAGGAAATGACTCATGTAGTAATTGAATTGTTTCTCGGGCTGTATGGCATGTGACACCGTCTTGTTGAAACCACATGTCGTCCACATCCATATCTAGTAATTTAGGCACAAAAAACTAGATTATCATGTAGCAATAGCGAACACCATTAACTGTTATTGCCTGACCAGCCGCATCTTCTAAGAAGAATGGTCCGATGATGCCTCCAGCCCAAAATCCACCCCAAACAGTGACCAAACACGTTGTGGATGCATTTGTTTCTCAACAATCACTCGTGGATTTTCTGAACTCCAAATGTGACAATTTTGTCGATTAACCAAGCCATCAAGATGAAAATGAGCCTCATCGCTGAAGATGATTTTGTTCGAAAAAACAGCATCCACTTGTTGTTGTTTATAATCCATTCAACGAACTCTCTTCGCTGTGGCAGTTTACCCGATATGCTATTCCATACATAACCTTATACTGTATACTTTATGAATCAATAAAAAATTTACAATTTTTAATTATAAACCTGTGTTTTCTATCAAAATTTTTTGGGACACCCTTTATAAATAGATATACTAGGCAGGTTTCAGACCACATTTCAAGATGGCGGCCATGACGTCGTATGACATCATAAACTGTCGTCATATGATATACATGTTATAGGAGGAATAAGGAATAGAAGAGGGACTGTTATTAATTAAATTTATTCTCGAACGTCAATGAACGACTATCGAGTCATTATTAAACCATTATCGAACGCCACCGAACGTCTCACGATGTTGATAATAGTTCAATAGTAGTTTGATAGCTGTTCATTAACGTTAGATAGTAAATTTAATTAATAGCCCTCTCTCCCGCCCCACCGTGACATAATGTGACATGTGACGTCATAGCAGCCATCTTAAAAAGTGGTCTAAAGAATCCGCCTGGTGTATCTATTAATATAAGAATACAAAGGAAAGCAATAAATAAAATAATAGTAATAATAATGTAGTAAAAGTAATAATGCTAAAATTAATGCGACAGTACTATTGCCTATAACATAAATTAATAGGTGCCAACTTAATAAATACCAAAAGCAACATATATATAATTACATTTGCTGATTAAACATAATTATAGTACTACGCATATACCGAACGTAACAATATTCCTTGTACTCTCGAAACAATAAGAAAAAAAGATAAACGCAGAATAATAGGTACATGTGTGAATTGCTTGTACAAAATAAGTTAATGAGAATTTCGTATACACGAATCAAAGTAACTAAGAAAATTATGAGACTAAAGTTAGTCGAATGGCGCACAATACTACGAATTTTCGTTGTGATACGCGAAAAAATTAGTATTGCTTAATCGTTTATTGCTCTAGAGCGCGTCGTATATATTTATATATTAATATATATTCATTTTAATAGCAGCGTGGCGATGGCTTATTTATGGATGGCGCCGCGCAAGATGGAATTAAAAAATCGAACATAGCTCCATCGAGCGCATAAAGCAATTGCTGGTCGATTCTAAGAATCGATATCAGTTGACGAGCTACGCCAAAATTTTCGTTCACTCTATACTTCTTGCAACTTTTGACGGTGAAGCACCATTTCTCGCTCTTTCTCCCTCCCTCTTTCTTTCTCTCTCTCGCTCTCCCTCCCTCCCTTCACCCTCTCTATCCCTCTCTCTCTCCCACCTATCTCCCCTCTCCCCCGCTCTCTCCCTCTCTCCCTCTCTCTCTCTCTCCCTCCCCCTCTCTCTCCCTCTCTCTCACCGTCTATCTAGCTATGCATGCAAAATACGTTTTATATCACGTCTGAATATAATGATCGTTGCAAAATATGCGGGTTGCCCGCTCGCTCGCCATCGCGACATAAAATTACATATTGTTAGTTTAAAATCGGGACTTCTTTCGGTTTGTGGGCAACTGAAGCATGGATCCACACCCCTTTTGATCGCGTTCATTGCATTCTCTTTGTGTACGTAGAACGTATAAAATAGAATAATTTTAAATCATCGGTTAAATACGCCGAAATCAAGACTCATCGATTTATGTGATCTCGAACAAAACAATATTGCAAATTTATCCCAATATAATTATCGGCATTATTGGCATCTCTGCGATGCACAAATACTCGCACATAATTGGTTGTTTTTTCATAAATATAATTAAATGTGGAATGCAGCGTAGCCTCTCTGTGTAACCAGCGAAGTGCGCTACGCGGGATGCATTAATTTTGCGCAAATAATATCAATTAGCGTGTCAATAGAATCTATTTACATTATTGTTGTAATATAAATAACATAAATCATTAAACAATAAAATTAAACATACCGCACGATGTGTTATTATGCATCACTGTAAAATATAAATCTAAAGCTGCTGCTGGTCTCGGTTACATGAAAAATATTTATTTTACAATGAATCGCGTGAAGAAATGGACGTCACGCCGCTTTAAATTATCTGATAATAATTTAACTTTGTGTTTTTTCTTTCTTTTCTTTTCTATGGACATCTTCAATACGAGACGTAGATCACAGGCGGTGTGGATTGGGCACTCATTCTTCATCATGTCTAAGCACATCATCGGTTCACATTTATTAAACTTCGGATGTCCGCCTCTATATGCATAATTATATAATTCGTTGTGTCGAAACATTGCTTTGACCATACGTGTTGTCATACTTACTTTTTTTATATTGCTTCTATAAAATATTTGTATGTGTGTACGCGCGCGCACACGCGTGCGTGTGTAACAGTGATTATTTGTTTATTATTCAATTTACTCTAAGTACGTTGTGTGTGTGTGTGTGTGCGCGCGCGCGAGCGCGCGTGCATTATGCGTGTACATGTATGTCAAGTGTACATGTAAATCCGTTTTACGCGACGCCGTACGCGTGTATGTGTGCCCACGATCATAACCGGTCGACCCACGAGTACTCCCGAATATTATGCATACGACTGTTTCAGGTCGTCGATTCGATGTATCGCGGTGCAAGGCTTGTAACTAAAATGCTAACTCGTACCGACTACGGCAGAGCGCGTGAATCATATAATCACGCCAGACACGCAGGTGTGCGTCGACAAAAATCAGGCCAACATAAAAAATAGAGAAGAGGAAGGAAGCGCAACGTATAACGATTCCGACTTGACGAAATCGCGTGAGTGCCTCTGGAATATCTATAGAGGCACTTTCGTTAACTTGTCAGACCTCCTTCACGCATTCATCAGAGGTAATGGCGGTACGCCATAACTTCGAGTGTGTGCAATGTCGCTAGTTTCTGCACTTATTGATCACCTATGGCTTTCCTCATTCCGCCCCAATCTGATGGATTATTATATAGACACTAAAAGAAGCGCACATACTCGTTGCCTCTATTATACGTGTGGATGGTTCTGAATAATCCTTTCCCTTTTTTCTTTTTTATCGAAACCGGCGAACTTAAAAGATTTAGCGAATAAGCTGTTGATCGCAAGATCAGCGGGAATTATTCAAATGAGAATTAGCAGATTAACTAAATAATCTATTCATACGATATTCATCATTCATTCTTGTCGTCCATTAATCCTGATACTTCGACCTCGTTATCTGTCGTTAGCAGAAATTTTCCAAACTTAAGCGCTAGCAATAAACAAAGAGAAGTATGTGCATGAAATATTGGAAATATCTCATTCCTTCTGACACTTTACGAAACGTTAAAAATAAAGAGAGAGAGAGAGAGATTAATATAATTATTTTAATTTGATAATAAAATTATAAGTGCTGAAGTTCAGCTGCGATCTCGTTGTAATAAAATTATCTAGAGTTTCCAATGATATTTGATATACTTTTTCTTAACGAAGATTAGACGTAGATTCGGACGATTAATGGCGGACAGCCATTGAGCCATCATCGATCACACCTGCGTGCTTTTCTCGCTGCTACGACGGTTGATCTCAATCATTGATCGCGTTTAAATGCAATCGAGACCACGCCGTGATCAAGATTCGATTAGCGCGGATCCATTCTCAATCCATGGATCTCGAATCTTTCGCTCTACTTCCTGTTTTAACTTTAGGCAGCTAAGTATTAATAAATAGTGTCTTCATAACGAGCTCGCGGACTAGAATCGTACGAGCTATAGTAAATATATATATACTATATATATATAATAATATAATATAATAATATAATATCATAATATGTAATAGGTATAATCGACTAGAATGACTAGACTTGCAGTGTGGACGTCACTGTTCGACGTGTTCCTTTCTCTTTTTTTTTTACGACTTAACATTACTGGACGTTTTTATTAATGTTAGACATTATTTGGTAAGACTCACACGCTCTCTCTCTCTCTCTCTCTCTCTCTCTCTCTCTCTCTCTCTCTCTCTCTCGCTCCCTTCCTTCCCTTCTAAAGTCGTCGCTCATTGCTCTTCCTTTCCCACATCCTCACTCTTTTTCTCTTTCATTCATTCTCACTCTCTCCCTCTCGATCTCTCTCCCTTTCTTTCTTTCTCTTTCTCTCCCTCTTTCTCTCTCTCTCTCTCTCTCTCTCTCTCTCTCTCTCTCTCTCTCTCTCACTCTCTCTCTCTCCATTTCTAACGCTCACATTTCTTTCTACTGGCACTTTTCTACTTAAAATCTACGGCAAACCTTATATCTCTCCTCTCCTCTGCTCTTCATATCTTCGCGATCAAGCGGTGATCATGAGACACCGCTAGCTTTCTCGTGATTCCTCGATCCTCGCAGTGTCCTCATTATTCTCCTTCTCGAAGCGCTGCTACAAGCCTCGGTTGGTGTTCTGTTGATGCTGCGTGGCATTATTACCAGCATGCTGCTGTTGCGGCTGCTGCTGCGGCTGTTGCATCTCTTCATCGCGTAGACATGCCGACTCCAGATGTTTGTTCAGATAGGACTTGAGGGCAAAGGTCTTGTGGCACCTCGAGCACTCGTAGTTTTTATCGGCGGAATGCGTCTGCATGTGTGCCCGCAGATTTGAACGGTCAGCAAACGCCTTGCCACAATGAGCACACCCATACGGCTTCTCGCCGGTATGGCTACGCAGATGACCCTGCAGCAGCCAGGGACGCGAGAACATTTTGCCGCAAACGCCGCAACTGTGAGCCAGCTTGTGCGTCAGCACGTGCATCGCCAGGGCGGGCATGCTGACATACGCCTTGCCGCAGTGGATGCATTTCTTGGCAGACTGTGAGTCGAGACTGCGATGCGTCTGCTTGTGCCGCGACAAGTTCGACGACGTGGCGTACTGCTTGCCGCACTCGGTGCACGTGAACTTGGGCCTGTCTGGTTGGGCCGCCTCTTTGTCGGGTACGGCGGCGCCGTTGTTGCTACTACTACGCCGCTTCGACCGACCATCTGACACAAAGAAGGCCTCGTAGGTGTAGGCGACAGTTTTGCTGCTGCCTGTGGTGCTGTCGGAAGTCGAACAGAGAGGAATTATGTCGATTCTTTCAAACGACAGGTGTCGAGAAATAGGGATGGATTATAACGTAGCTATAGCCTCGAGCAAGCTTCGAAGCTCTTGATCTATCTTTTCGAACTTACTATATCTTCAAGTTTGACGTGAGCTCTACGGTAGAGATTTTGACATTTTAACAGCGTTCATCGAAAGGACGTGACAAGTCCCTGAGTTTCACAGTTTGTAGGTTACCATTGTGGGTTCCACCTACATACCCGAAACTGCTCGAAATACTTGATGGGCGAAGGGTAGGGGGAGGAAGAAGAGAATCGTCAAAGCGTGAGACTCACCTGTCCCTACCAACGTTGCAATTTCCGCCGTTGGTCTCTGCGGTTGCCGGCGACTGCGGCTGCGGTGGTGTCTGCTCTTGCTGGCGCAGCTGATTGGTCTGCGAGCTAGGTACCGGCACGAGTACGGAGACCGGAATAGGTTGTGTCGTCGCTGACACCGATTGTAAAAGCTGCTGCTGCTGCTGTTCCTGCTGTTGTTGTTGCTGCTGCTGTTGCTGCTGCTGTTGCTGCTGCTGTGGTTGCTGCGCCACAGGTACGTTCGGCGACGCAGCAGCGGGCGGTGGAGGTGGCGGCGGTGGCGGTGGCGGTGGCGGCGGCGGCGACAGAGTGTGAATAAAAACAGAGTGCGTGGGCGCAGCCGGCGACGCACTGAGGTCCAAGATAGCCTGCGCAGCCGACAGGTCTTCTTCGGCGGACGTGCGGATTTCCGAGATCGTCTGCAAGCTGTAAGGACGGTAAATGTCCTTCTTTTTCGGCGGTAAGGACAACGCCGTGCCGGTACTGGTGAAACACATTGACAAGCTCTTGCGCGGTGGTAGGCTCAGGGACGCAGGCGATGATGACGAAGACGGACTTGTGACAGTCTGTTGCGGCGTCTGATGGAGCCCCGTGCCGGTCAGTACCGGAACCGCTAGTTCCTGCTGCGCGATCGGAGGCGGCGGTGGCGGCGGCGGCGATGGTGCTACCGGACGCGCCAGCTCCGCAGCGGAGCGAAGCGTTGCGTATTTAGGTGGCTCCTCGTGGTTGATCCAAGCTTCGTGCGTGTAACCTAGAAGAAGAAAGAGCCGTGCTAAGAAACAGCAGGTCGATCTGCGGAACAGTCGCGACCAGATGCAGACAGCGTATGCACACATAAGACGTCCGTCACAACACAGGACAAAGCTTGTGTGCGAATAGAACGAGTTAGAATTATTACAAAATTTCTTCCATTTTTTAAACAACCACGTGAAGTTCCAAGTTATGAGTGAAAGAAGATTGACGAATCAGTGCGCTCCGTGCGACGGGAGGGTGCGATCGCACGGAAAATGGTTGACGCCGCGATTGTCTCATAGCAGTATCGGATGTGCTACGACAATCATTTATGCGCTGATTGCTTTTTAGTAGTGGTATTTGCTGAAAAATAATCGCACAGTCAGCTATTTGTTATGCGATCGCGTTATCTCATTCGCGCATGGCTCGCGCTAATTCGTCAATCTTTTTTCACTAACAACTTAATATTTTACGCGGTTGTTCAGAAAAATGAGAAGACATTCTATTCATTTTGTCCCGTCCTACTCTACGAACTTTGTCATGTGTGTTGACAATATGCTATATATACACATGGTATTCATTTTTTAAGAGTTTCCACCTCAATATCTTCTAAAATATGTGTTATGCGGAAAGATATTGGATATAAAAGTTATAAAGTTTTAAAGGGAATTTATGATAGTGATCGTAGAAGCCATGCAAGTGACACTTTTCAGAATCATTTTAAAACCAACTTTTTTTTTTAAATGGAACGGGATATCTTTTATTACACGATTCGGGAAAACAGATGATCTTATATCTAAAGTCCTCTGGAACTTAACTTTTTTTAATGTAACTTTTCCACTGAAAAAAATAGAAAAAGTTAAACCATGTGTATGCGTTACCTTTGTATACACATGCGCACGTGATATATTGTGTATAGCATGAAAGAGAGAGATTGAGAAAGAAAAAAGGAAATAAAGAAAGAATAAAGGACGATTACAGTTCATTTTTTATCCATACATTATTTTCAAAATGTTCATCACTTTTCCTATATCGAAATAAATTTTGTTTCATGTTACTGTCTCACATTCTGAAAAATGTGTCAAAGAAACGATTTATAACAAGCAAAGTGTTTTCAATCAACAAATCGATCGAGGATTGAATGACTGATATCCTGATAGGTAGATTGGCAGACGTGAATCCCTTGTGGTCAATAAGATCCTTTGATTTGTCGCTATTAGATTTTTTGTTATGGGAACACGAGAAATCAATCATTTATAAAACTTCGGTAAACGGCATTCAAAATTTAAAAAATAATAATTGAAGCTTGTAAATCCATTTCTCGACAAATTCTTTTTACAAAATAAGAAAATAATTTGAAAAATTTATTTTCTGATAAAATTTATTTTTGTACGGAGAAATGATAAACATTTCTTTTTTAACTATAAACGAAAAAAATTAGCTATAATCGTTCTTCATTCGCTCTCTCCCTCTCTCCCTTCCTCTATCTCTTTTCATATATATATACAAGGTTTCAACGCATATACATATTTTAATTTTCTCTGATACTTTTCAGTTAAACAAATTTTCTGTATTAACTTAAAAAATGTTCAGTTAAATTTTTAGATAAAAAAGATTTTTTCAGTTAAATGTAATAAAAAAGTAAGTCCTAAAGGATATTGGATGCAAAATTATTTACTATATTGAATCTCGCAATGAAAAATATAATTTTTCATTTAAGAAAAAAGTTGATCTTGAAATAATCTTGAAAACCGCCACATAATACACATAATTTATAAAGACATCATCATATGTTCCTCTTAAAACTCTACAACTTTAATATTCAACATTTTCAATGTATTTTAGTAGATATTGAAGTGGAAATTTTTCAAATAAACATTCTACACACACACACACATACATACATACTTACACACATATACAGAATATCCAAAAAGTCCCGGACCGGTAAAATATCTCGAAAACCAAGCATTTTAGAAAAATATGTTTGGAACAAAAATTATATGGTTTCAAGGGAGACCTAAGGGAGGGAAAATAAAACTATCATTTTGTTTACAGATGGCACCACTTTCGAGATACTCACTGATCATTATTTTTCTTAAACAGCGACCCCAATTTTTTTATTATATTAGGTGTACAACTTTGCTTCCGCCGTTTTCCTATAGATGGTTTTAGCGGTAAGTAGTGGTTGAAATAAATAGATCATAGACGTCACGCAATAAACTTGGGCAACTGTCAACATAACCCCATAGAAACATTAATCGATTTGTCTCTGCATCATAAAGTTATTCTCGATTGAAAATGTCAGTTTACGAGCCAAATTCTCATCATTTGCGGGAGGTTTTAATTTTCTGTTTCAATATGAAGAAATCTGCGGCTGAGGCTCATCGAATGCTCTCAAATACTTATGATGAGGCCGCTATTAGTGAAAGAACGTGTCATGAGTGGTTTCAACGCTTCAAGAACGGTGATTTTCACGTCGAAGACCGGCATAGCGGTGGAAGAGAGAAGGTTTTCGAAGATGTAGAATTGGAGGCATTACTTAATGAAGACTCGTGTCAAAGTCAAGAAGAATTGGCATGATCATTGGAAGTGACTCAACAAGCAACTTCAAAACGCCTCAAAGACATGGGAATGATTCAGAAGCAAGGAAATTGGGTGCCGTACGGATTGAAACCGAGAGGTGTTGAACGGCGTTTGTTTGCTTGTGAACAGTTGCTTGAAAGGCAAAGACGGAAGGGATTTCTGCATCGCATTGTGACTGGAGACGAAAAATGGGTTCATTATGATAACCCCAAACGCAGAGAATCATGGGGATATCCCAGCCATGCTTCCACGTCGACGGCCAAACCGAATATTCACGGCTCCAAGGTCATACTCTGTATTTGGTGGGACCAGCTCGGCGTAGTGTATTATGAGTTGTTAAAACCGACTGAAACAATCACAGGCGATCGTTATCGAACGCAATTAATGCGTTTGAGCCGAGCATTGAAAGACAAACGGCCGCAATACAACGAGAGACACGATAAAGTGATTTTGCAGCATGACAATGCTCGACCCCATGTTGCGAAAGTGGTCAAGACATACTTGGAAACGTTGAAATAGGAAGCCTTACTCCACCCGCCGTATTCTCTAGACGTTGCTCCCTCTGACTATCACTTGTTTCGATCAATGGCACACGGCCTGGTTGACCAGCACTTCCGGTCTTATGAAGAAGTAAGAAATTGGATCGATTCGTGGATCGCTTCAAAAAATGACCAGTTTTTTTAACGCGGGATTCGTACGCTGCCCGAAAGATGGGAGAAAGTAGTGGCCAGCGATGGACAATACTTTGAATTATAAATGTATAACCAGTTTTTTACAATAAAGTCTTGAATTTCGGAAAAAAACGGCGAAAGCAAAGTTGTACATCTAATATCATCTTTTTCTACTAATTAATTTAAACAACTTTTGTCTGAAATATTTTTTTATTAGCCTAAAATTTTTTGAGATCTGTAAGGAAACCTTGATAACTTTTTTAATATTTAACTTACAATATCTCGCTATTTGTCGGAGGAAAAAGTGGTATTAGACCTTTTTACTTCATTTAGTCTCAAGAATATATTGTTACAGTGTCCTGACTTTTGTTAACTTATCGACTTTCAGAAATTTCAAAATCATCAAATTAACAAAAGTCAGGGTGCTATTGTAACAATATTTATTTTTGAGATCAAGAGAGTAAAAAAGTCTAGTATCACTTTTTCTTCCAACAAATAGCGAGATATCGTAAGTTAAATATTGAAAAAATTATTAAGTTCTCCTTAAATATCTCAAAAATATTAGGCAAATAAAAAAATATTTTAGACAAAAGTTGTTAAAATCAATTGGTAGAAAAAGTTGATATAAACAAAATTAGGATTTCTATTTAAGAAAAGTAATAATCAGTGGATATATCGAAAGTGGCGCCATCTGTAAACAAGCTGATATAATAATTTTATGTTTCCCTTGAAACTATACAACTCTTGTATGAAAATTTTTTCCGAAATGTCTTGTTTTCGAAATATTTTACCGATCCGGGACTTTTTAAACATTCTGTATATATATATATATATATATATATATATTACATTGTATATTTTGCAGCTCGATAACCGCGTGCGCGTCGCTATTCAGTTCATATAAACATTTTCTAGAAGAGATTATTTCGCCCCTGAGCAAAGTACAATGCATTGAGGAGACAGTGAGGGTGTGCCGGGTACGCGCATACGTAACATCTCGTTCGTTCTTGTCTACATGAATATTTGAGTTCGTGATTCACTCGCGAGTTGCGTGGCGTTTCATTTCCTGTACGCCAGCTGTTTCTACCGTACCATATATACGGTCATTAACGGATATAAAGGGGAGAGAAAGGTAGATGGCGAAAAAAGTCGGGTGCAAGAGAAGGTGCGTCGTCGGTGGTAGCGCGGCACCTGAACGGAGGTGGATGTACATATAATAACGCGATGTGTATCTGTTGCACACCGCCGCCCCTGCAAAAGGTAGTTTAGAGCTGACGAGTGAGATTTGCGCGCGCTCTCTCCCCCAAACTAGAAAATACCGAGAAAAATTCAGTCGGTATGCAAAATAGCGTCTCGTCTAACAACATATTCTTTTGAATATGCTCTCATTTCCGGGACACTTACGTCAAAACATGTATTATAATTAAACTATCACTCCCTTTTCTCTCCCTACTTTTTACTTATTTACTTCTCTCAATTAAAAATACCATTTTATTAAATATCAAGTCGCTCTCGAACCAAAATTATATCTTCTGATAGATCCGTTTAAATTAAAACATCGGAACGTTAAAATATCGGAAAAGAATTTTAACAATCTTTTCTTACTGTGTGTGTAGTTTTTATCTTAAGTAAGAAAGTGTTGTTTCACTTCTTAACTGCACGAATCATTTCAAAACGTTTTTGACTTCTCTTGCATCTGTCGTATCGCTCACAATTGCAACTATTACTTGCAATTTGTTACATTCGAATGTCATCTCATTATTAGTTATCGATGTCGTCCATATTCCGCTCGTGTTTCTTTTATTACTCCTGACAACGTAACGGAGCACACAACGTACGATTTTCGACGTTTTGTACCGTGAAATCGATACGCGTGCCGTCCAACGAGTTATATAACGCGAAAGTCCGTGCCGTAAGTAGTAAGCTCACCGCTACGTACGTAGGCAGCAATTAATGAGTTCTCTTATCTCTCCGATTTGAACGTTTACCGAGCATTAGACGCATGCAATCTCAATCAAACTGTCGCAATTGCAAAAAAGATATAAGCATAGTTTCTTGCACATAAGCCATAAAACGCAAAATTCTTTTCTTCTTCTTCCTCTCATGAAAAGTATTGCAACGATTTTACACGAGAAACATAAATATATCAACAATAACTTATTATAAATATTAATTATAAATGTAATAAACAAAAATATCTCGGTTGTAATATATTAAAGCGAAAATTTTTTTCAGAAAAATGAAATATAAACCGTCGTAACACGTCCTTAACTCGCAATCTTGATTTAAAAAATTATTCACATTTCAATTTTTTTTCTTTTCTCTTTTTAGGAGATGTTTCTTTTTGAAGATAAATATTGAGCCACATACATCTAATGCATTTTTCCTCATACAGGTGTCCGTCTCGTACGCAATTTTTCCCTAATCTGCTGCTCGCGAGAGGCGGTCTTAAGGGAGAGAAAAGAACAATAAATCAGAAAAATGTGCTCGCTCGATCAATTATTTATTATATATTGGCTGAAATAAAGGAAAGTTAACTTACAGAAGTAAAGGAGAGTGGCCGTGTCTGCAAGTGCATTTCATCAACGGTAGAAGGAACGCAGTTGTGTGTCTGGTTGAGGAAAGGGGGGACAAAGAGGCTACAGAAGGGTCATATGGAGACGGACGGGGGGAATCAATAACGGCGAATGAACGCTCCGCACGCGCTCCCACGAGTCCGTTGATTCTAGGTCCTTTCAAAGGCCGATAAAAATCTCTGGTACGATTAATGTTAGCGTCGAGTTTTCCATTTTCTTAGCGTATTTTTCCTTTCGTCACGATGTTTGGAAGATAGTGGGAAATACTCAATAGAACTAAAATAGTACGAGTCGAAATCAATGGATCCATGTCGTCATTCTCTCTCTCTCTCTCTCTCTCTCTCTCTCTCTCTCTCTCTCTCTCTCTCTCGCGGCTCTCCTCTAAATTAATGAAATATTTTATGGACAAAGTATTACGATCTACATAAAAAATGCGCTATTTTTGTTAATATCGATGTTATTAATAGCATACGGGAAATTAGATAAAGAAACATTATTCCTGTTAGACATTGAAGAAACATAATTTTATCTTAGCCAATATCTAAGCGAATCGAATTTATATTGACTGACAATGTAAATGCTTACAATTAAAAGATAACAAAACTAGCATATAGAGCAGTATAAAGTGGCATTGATTATCTATGACTTCTAGGTAGATTCTATATCTACATTATCTAGATTATAAATCACAGATGTAGCCCATATAGCATATTTATATACCTTGAATGAACATTCCGCACATTCCTGTAGGTTTATCGCCTCTGATCTTTATCGACCCTGCGAGCGCAAAAGAAATAGCAAGTATAAATAATTATACTTCGTCGATCGAATTATTTAATTAAAAGAAAATTAAACATTTTTTATGGCTAACATATTTATATTTTCGTCGCATAAGAATATTATTAACCGGTTTTCTTCCCTCTTTCTTTCTTCCTCTCATAAATAATCAGGACAAAGAGAATAGCGAGATCTTATAATGATATATTATTTTATTCAACAAATAAAAACCAAGCACATACTTTATTTGCATGAAAGCATGAAAATCAAGGATAAAAAACATTTTTATAAATACATTTTTACAGGGCTATTTATTTTTGATAATTTATTATCTCGGAATCTAATTTGTCGACACGACGAATAAACTTTTGTATACACACAACTTTAAGAAATAATTTGCTTTTGTTATAATTCTTCTCTGTCATATTTATAAGCTTGTATATGACAGATAAAGTCTTTCAAGCATTAAGGCCCAGTTGCACCAACATTATCTTAGTTTTAAGTGAGACTTAAACATAAGTCTATCTTTATCTTTCTTACTAAATAAATAAAGACAAAGATATATTTAAGTCTCACTTAAAACCAAAATAATGTTGGTGCAACTGGGCCTAAGAATTATAATGTGAAATATTTCAGAACTCTTTAATGTATGATTTGTTCGAGTTGAGCAAACATTTATTGAACACAAAATTAAATTTATATCATGATTAATTGAAGTCAGTTGGATAACCTAATAACATAAAGCCATTCATTGCAAAAGTCAAGTTTCGTAAGCTGTCTAGTAGTTTTACAACATTGAAGAAAATCTAATATCGAGAAAATAGATTGAATAAAATTCAATTGTCATCACATCACAGCATATACATTGTAATGATGATTGGAACGCTTGATATATACGCCGTTTGTGTCATTATACAAACTCGTGCACATTCTACTGTCTGTAAGTAGTATAAATGAGATAAAAAAGGTTATTATTCTGTAATTATAGCTTTCAAGCTAGAAGCTTGTAGTTCTATAAGCAAGCGTTAACGATTGATTCGCGCATACAGAAATTTTATAACATATGTGCTTAATTTTTATAAATAAATTCATATATGAGCACCCGCTTTAATTGTAAATTTTTCTTATTTATTTTATTCTTTAAATAAAAAATGTATTCTTCAAACTTAAATGGACGGAATATTTAAACCTTCTCGTCTTGTCAACTCTTTCAGAAAAAAGAATCTCCTAATTTCTGTTGCGAATAATGTAATCTTAATAACGAAATCGAGACAATAATTAAAAATTAACTCTTATTCGTTCCATCCTCATCAAAAACGATATAAAATTAGTGACACGAAAAAAATACAATTAGGAATTGCTACGTTCGCTTATTTAGCACGGTTACGTAACGCGTGTGGAATCTACAAGTTACTGCGCAAAGTGAAGACAAATGTAAGAGCAAGCTGCACACGCGTATGCATATGTGAACAATCAACAACTAGCCTACTCGGCATAATTCATCAAATCATAGACGTATTCATCAGCGTCTACGTCACAAAACTGAGCCGTTTTGCATAATAATGGTTATACAACAACATGCTGTTAACACTGTGTGTATGTGTATGTGCCAATATTTCCTTTTCCTTATTAAGAAGAGTCAATAAATGCAACCGCCAATGGATGGTTTACCTAGGGTGCTCAACGATATCAGAATCATGACTCAATGCTGAAGATGCCGCCGAGCAGTCGTCAACGCACTCGATATTCTACAAACGGGTGTGTCGCCCATATACATACATATGCGACACATGGCCGACTCCGTGGGCGGTTTCCCACAGGTCGTGGAAACGCTGCCATAATCGTACACGGTGTTGCGGCCTTTAGCGAACCAATTTTCCGCATTCTCAACAGTCGGACAATCCTGCCGTAATCATGGCGCGTTTAAGCGTCTATACCGCAATCTGTCTATAGCGCACGCGACTGTTTAATAGACGGGTGTGTCACCCTTTATATCAGACACATAGCGCGAGACTTGGCCGTGCCATCTCAAAGTCCGCGCCTTTGCGAAAAAGAAAATAAAAGCTCGCAGTAATCGTCCGAAACTCAGCCCGGCGGATCCCGCGAATACCTCCAAAGGGAAAGGCTCTCGAAGGTCTTTGGGCGTGGCGCATTTAACCTAGCTACTATGCTTGCGAACAGTAAAGCACGTAAGACGGACGATTCACAGGAGCGCACAGGGATGCATGGTATCGCTACGTAAAAGTGAATACTCCTGAGGGAAAGAGTCCACCACTCACCATGATAATAAAGAGCGCCGGAAGCGTTAAGGGGCGGTGGACTAGGAGCCGTGGCTCCTGCTGTGGGACTATGCGGCCCCCAACAAGTCTGCTGGTGGTCAACTTGACGGTTATCGACGTCTCCGACCACGTCGATCTCCTCGTCTTCAAGCTCATGCCTATGTTGACGTTTCTCCATGGCGTTCGCGGTCTGATGTATCGCGTGCGGTACTTGCTCTTGCAGAAGGGCCCCGGCCGTCGCGTCCTCCTGCTGCTCCTGCTGATCTTCCACGCGATCGGGCCACGGGTAGGCCTTCCACTTTTTCGCCATGAGACAGCGCGGCATAGTTGAAATACGATTCCTCCGTTGTTTCACGGCCGATGGCACTAAAGGATGATGGCGACGGTGGTTGTCGTCCGATCAGCGAGCACGATGACTCGGATGATTTCGGAACGAGATACCGACACGGTACACCAGCACCAACACGCTCACTAACAACTGCACCACTAACCGCACCACCGACGTCGTCACGATCGACGGCCGTGATTACGACGCGCTCGTCGTCGTCACTAACTACTGTGCCGCGGACGTTGTCGTCGTCGTCGACACCGCGACGTCGACGTCTACGTCGCGCCCGTCCGTCGCCCGGCCCGGCTGTCTGTGACTGCGGCCTGTTGAACCGATGCTTGATGAGACTGTCTCGGCTGGGTGGTTCGTTGGCCAGCTTCGTCTTCGTCCTACGTGGTACACGCTGGTAGTGTGGAATCTGCAATCTCGTCATCGGCACGGCGAGGGCGGCTCCTTAAACGGATGCACGACCGCCACCATGCCAGCCAGCGGCTTCTGCGACCTTCGCGGCGGTTTTCTTCGTTCGCTTGAGAGAGTGCACGTAGAGAGTCTCCTACTTGGACCGCAGGGGCTGTTCGTTCGCAGTTTATATATCTATATGAATATATGTATGTATATATATATATATATGTGTGCATGTATATGCGTGTATGCGTATATGTGATCCTATGCGCTCGCGCGCATGTATGTATACGTGTGTATGTGTATGTGCGTATGTGTGTTTATCTATGTATGTATACTTGTATAAGGCTATGTGTGTATCCGGGGTGGCTCTTCTCTGCACCTCGCGAGACTTGCTAAGTGGACCGACCGACCGACTGACTGACTAACTCACTGACTGACTGGCTGACTGACTGACTGACTGACTGACTGACTGACTGACTAACTGACTGAAGACCGACTGTCTGTCCGTCCGTCTGTCCGCCTGTCCGTCCGTTACTCTTTCGGTCGCTCCCTGTCGCCAGTGACAGGGGGTGGCCTCGAATACGACGACGACGACGGGGTGCGACTGTTTAGTCGGTGGCGCTGCCGCTCCGTGTTACCGTCCCTTCAGCCCCTTACCTCTTCACCGCACCGACCACTAGCTCTCTCGCGCTCACAAGGTTGTCTTCGTCGCTCGCTACGTATACAACTAGTCAGCAGCACCCCCGTCATCCCTCCGTTGCGGCTTCTCCATAAGCGAAATCGAGGGATGGCGCTGCTGCCGCCGCCGCTGTCGTCGCCGTTGCTGCTGCTGCTGCTGCTGCTGCTGCTGCTGCTGCTACTGCTGCTGCTGATGGTGATGTTTTGTACGAGGGGTTGCATAGCTACCCCTCGAGAGTGCTGATGTCGGTTCTCGATTCCTTGCAAGTCTCTCTTTGTGGTTGTACGTACGTGACACAAACGCGTGACACGGCGAATGAACGTGTGCTGCTGATGTCAGTGGCGTAGGGTCGCGAATTGTTTGCACAGTATCGCTGTTAATCCGCGCGCCCTTGCAAGAGTCTACAGAAGCTTTAATAAAAAAAGGCAAATTCATGTAAGCCGACTCTTACGCATGTCGAATAATTTATACATTTGGAAACGATTATTTTTTATTAATCAATAGCCAGTGCTGTAAATTGACAACTTCTGAATGGTGCAAAATATTCCTTCATCTTCTCAGTTAGAAAAATCTATTATTTTTTTCATCTTGTTCACATTTTACGAGCTATTGATTGATCCCTTTTTACGACTTCAAATAAAGTTTGTACGATTCTTCTTGGAAATGATTCAAAAATTGCCACTCAACAAACATATGACACATATGAAGGTAATATATGGCTGACTTTTGAATAATTTATCACATTTGAATAATTATGATTTATATATCGCATCTCTTTTAATCATACGTCGATACTTTATCGATTATAAATCAAAAGTAACTTGATAAACATAATTCAACGTCAGATCAAAGTTTTATTGTCGGTGAACTAAAAGTTAAAAGTTGCAAATGTCTTACTCTGTTTTTTCAATTTCCTCATAATCTAGAAGGGATGATATCCATAATAAGCAATAGCGGCATTATGCAAGATACCTGCGATATTCCTTTTTGCTAATATAAACGGTGATTTCGTATTCTCAGTACGTGTACACACGTGCGATACCATACTTTATGTAAAGTTGAATTTATATTACACCGTATATTTGGAGTTTGCTACAAAGACTAGGTTGCTTCTAGCCTGATTTAAAAAGGAAATTGGAAAATGTAAAGTAAAAAGCTGCAGTTACAATACGTTATGCTTTCTATGCTTGCATTTATTTGTCGGAATAATGGAGAGATTTCCATATAACTTCTATTACTTTATTTTTAACTTCTATTACTTTACTTTATTTTCTATACATCGCAGTTTTTGAAATTAACTATATTAATAGTATAATCATACTTATATTTCGTAATTATATATATATAATTTTATATATATACGATTATATAATTATATAATCGTAATTATATTTGTTGTTTATTTTTCACGTATCCTTCGATATCATCCAGTACAAATTAAATTTTAGTTTTGCTAAACTAGCAAATTATAAGTTGATCATTGAAAAATTATTTTCCAGAATATTAAAAATATCATTCGCATAATTCCCCTCTTCCCTCTTTTTTCTTAAATCCTTATAATTGTTTATAATAACAAGTAATGATGTAAATATACAAATAGAGAAAAGTGTAACTGTACTATTCCGATATGAAGAAATATGTCGAATTCTTCAAGGAAGTTCACTCGCAATAAGATCTCGACCAACAATCTCTCGATCCGGTCGTTAACCTCTCGTACTACGCAACGGGCGCGTAAGCATTCTTTGTAAATTTCTTCTTTGGAAACTCCATCGTTTATCGTATCTCACCACTTCCGGCGCAACATTATATACAAACAAACACGATCGCACCCCGGAACTCGCAAAAATCGAAGAGGGAAACAGCTGGTCATAATACCATGTTCCAAAGCCTCGTTTCCGTCGTTACGATGAATGTGTACACTTTTCCCTTCTTTCTCTTTATCTCTCAAGAGTGAAAAGGAGAGTAAAAGGAGAGGGAAGAGGGCCAACGCGGTAATTCCTACAGAAGATTGGCTGCATAATGACGATGCCACAGTGATATACATTGTCTACTTGTTGTCGACATGGTGTGCCTATAGTAGCGATGCTAATGCCGGCATTGGTAATACTGATGATGGACGATGGTAATGGTAATGGTATAAGGATGGCGCACATTGGAGTAATATCCCACGTAGGGGTGTATCTCTTCCGTGCAAAAATGAAGGAGAGAGAGAGAAGGACAGCGCATACGCGCACAGGCGAAGGCAGGAAGAAGAACGATAGGGGAGCGACAGAGGGAGTAAGTTCTAGAGTGCGGAAGGAGCGGTGGAACAAAAGGGCAGGAGGGGGCAAACATGGTCGCACATGCGCCAACGCTTGGCATCGACCCGATGTCTAGGCAACACCTGGTAGCACCCCACGTGCCACGTTAGGGTGGCATCAGCGCCACCCCACGCTGCACGTCGTGCGCGATCCATTCTGATATCGAATATCCTACTGGCCTCCCTCTCGGCTATGTTCCATCTACTGATCCACGCCAACGGAGAGAGCTACGTCTTTCGCGTTCCTCGCTTTCTGAATTCTCTTGTACCTGATACACACGCCACGGATGCCCGGCGCTGCGACAATGGAATTCCTTTTTCGAGGTAGAGGAAGCTCTCGGAGTAGTACACACGGCTGGAATTTCAATACGCGCGCGCGCGAGCGCGCGAGATGGATTCGCGTCAAAGGGCAGATGATTCAGGATCCACTGCATGACGATATTATATGCAACGTGCGATATATCGTTCTGTTGAATGTGCTCGATGAACACGCCAAAACAACAGATTTTTCTGACGTCGAGAAGAATTTCGTCCGCAAAATCCCTGTAGGAATCATGGCGAGTTATTCGATCTGACGTTAACGCACACGACAAACCTGACGTATGACGAGAGTATTAGCGAGCTTAATGCTGTGTAATATATGTATCGTGACGTAGTTAGGTCATGGGCGGGTCACCTGTTTATACGATCGAAATCATGATTCGACAACGGACGCAGACATGTCTCGCTATCGATCGACCACCAATAGGTTTTGTCGAATATCATGTAAAAAGGACGAGACTGAACGTTTCACAACGTTCGATTAGTCATTTCCAATTTTACCTCACGTGCTTTTCTTGAAAACAAATGATGATTATCAACAAATGTATGATTCACTATGTTCACTATATGTTCAAGCATTCATATATATTTTTTTACTCTATATAATATCATATATATATATATATATATATATATAATAGTAAATTCCATATATAATTATATGGAAGCAACGAGGTCAAGTAGAAACGCGATCTTCGTATTATAGAGGTCTTGTACTTTTTCAACTTGTCGCACGCTTGCCGTCCCCAATCTTGCGGCGTACGGCCACGCGGCGCGGCGGGGCGCAAAGGGTGTTGCCTGCTCGCGCTGGCGATCTCCGTACGGATGCGCAGAGATTCGAACGGAGGGATGATGCCACGCGAAGGGCGAGTGGAAGCTAGTTTAGCAGCAGGAACGAGCAGCATAGGGGCGGGAGGAGAAAGAGGGCAAACGAGCCGAGGAATGTGACGCGTTCTTATTTCCCGGAGAATGAAAGCAGAATGCTGGCTGCTGCCGTTTCGTACCACAATCTACACTCCTACCCTCCTCGCGTGGTGGAATTTAGTCACTCCTTGTCTTCTGCCTGCTAGATATTGTTCCGTCGACATAGTTAAACATGAAAGAACCTGAATATTTGTATATAAACTCAATAGAGGGAATTGGAAATTTCTGCCAAGATGTTTGCTAATTAAAATGTTCGCTAATTAAAATGAAGAGAAATAAAAAGATATTACATCGATTCAAAACTTCCACTCGTGCCACACAAAGGCAAGCATAATTACCTCGAGCAATTTCGATTTGAGTCTTCTGTCTCAAATCCGTGAACGTATACAGTTAAATAATTAGAATTTATTATATTTGTTGTATACATGTACATCCAGCGTCATCTGTTATTTAAAATAATGCAATGTTCTCGACGATATATCGTTTAAATCCAGATTTGATGCCTAACTTGAAGTTAGCCCGTTAGAAGGCCGCGTTTATCTCGGGTGCGCAGCGAAGAACAGAAAATTAAGTATCGTAATGCGAACTTCTCCATTAAGTTGAAGAGTGGAATCTCTCTTCGTTGAATTATCGTGCGATTTCGTTATCTTGCGTGTAATTCCGCCCGATAGCCTGCTCGTTATCGTCGGCGATATTATTATTCCGCTAAAATCTTGCTGCGAGATGAGTTTCAAACAGAGAACCGTCAACGATAATCTATTATCAAATTCTTGTATGATCTATTATCAAGTTCTTGTAGGCGGTGCGCCTACAAAGAACAGATAAGCCTTTATCGCTTATATAGCTGCAACCCACTCACCTCGCGACATCGGTTACGTGAAATCGTTATTAATTAGTCCAGCTTATCGTAAAGTATCGAGGTCACAGCAAGACGCCTGAATTATTTCCATCTACGCAAGCTCGCTCGATCACGTAGAGGGTATTTACCCTAAATCTTGTCCATAGCATAATAGAGCGTGTTAACGGCGATTACTTGTATTTCTTCTGTGTTGTTCGACAACACAACGCTTTCGTGCTAAAAAGAGACTACGGCGACTCTATAATTACAAATTCTTTAAGATACCGCAACTGTAAAACACTTGGCATGCCAGAACTCTTAGGCTTGAGTACACGACACGATATACGCAATATACAATTAACCCCTTACGATGAAGTGCAAATTTTCGACTTATATTTTATTGATGACTATTAAAATAATAGAACTCATTGAAATCTTCAGTATCTGACTAGAAGTAGTACTATTTTTATATATCACTTATAGAAGTTTTGAATAATTCGCCTTCGAAGCTTCGAACTTCACCAATGAAATATTGAAGCTCTTAATTAAACTAATTTTATGC